TATATATATATGTTTTATGTATACATATATATATATATATATATGCTTGCTTTTCCTGCATGAGGCGCATGAGGTCTCCAAATGTGTCAACATCACAGGAACCCCGGCCGTCTCAGGCCGTCCCCACGGGCTCCGGCCCACCTCGAACGCATCCGCATGCGCCTTCTTCCTCGCAGCTCCTTCGGCCTGGCGCGTGAGCCGTCCCCGCTGGCTTCAGAGCCACGGAGCCACGATGGGCCAAGGCGGAGCCAAGGCCCAGAGGTCCAGGTCCAGGTCTTCTTCAAGCTCAAGGCAATTCGTAGATTTCATGTTAAGACATGTTAAGACTATCTGATCAATATGACAGGATACATGACATGTTATCATATTGTACGCTGTTCCACCGATAGTCTTCACTGAATCAGGGAAGACTGAACCCGTGCCAAGGCGACACATGTTTGAAAAACACCTGTGACGATTCAGTCGGGGATGGAGACACTTTTCAATGAAACACACAAGTGAAAAGCTTCCTACAAACTTCTGTTCACGGATTTCAGGATGATGAGATGCACCAAATGAAGGCAAGCTCCCAAACTCGATTCCTCAATTTCAGTGGTACCTGTTGGGAAACGAACAATGTATGTACATGTAGTAAGTATGCAAATCCACGAGTAAAGTGTCCCATTGCTTAGAGTTCAAGACCCTTGAAGAACATGTACAGTCTATACTTCTAGTCGATGGTCATCTTCTCAGTCAACCCGTCTAAGTCCTTGAACCTTCAAGCTGCATGATCGTAGCCGTTCCAAATGAAGGACCAACATGCTGCAAGGACCGGCACATTATCTATCTCAAGCACCGACTGCTTGGATCGCTGGCAAGCTATTTTGGTTCAACGACAGTAGCACCAGAGTGATGAACTGCCATCATGTACCTGTTATGTGTTGTTTTACTTGAAAGGTCATCCCCTCTGCACCCACACTGACGACGAGAGCTTCACTTGAGGTGTCGAGGGATGAACTCACCTCATGATCACCCAGAAACAGGCAGCCTCCATCAGGCAAAGGTCGTTGTAAGCGGCAGCGCGTAAAAGAAGAACCTTCAGCCAGTGAGAAAACGGTGTGCCACTGCCAACTAGACTACATTGCGTTTCTCTTTCTAAAAAATAGACTGCATATTTCTGCAAGAAAATGCTGCTTGTAATCTTAGAAGGCAAAGACCCACATGTTCCTCCACCGGCACATGGGTTTCTCGACGTTTGGTTCCAAAGAGAATTTGAGCAAAACCCCCACCTGAGCTGCAACGAAGACACTAGCTTTGACCTGGCCAAGTACTGTAGCAGCTATGGAAGACACTCGTAACGACTCGACAACGAGATCCAACAAGTGTCGAGTGTTGCTCAAGAAATCAACATGCGTACTAAAGAATGCATAGGAAAAGTAATCCTTAGCGTACCAGGCATCTCTGAAAGAAGAGATGAAAACATGAAGTGCAAAGTATCTCTGTTATGAAGGGGCTAGAGAATTCAAGAGTTCAGGGCTGTGTCTGATGAAAAGAAATTAGGTCGAGTTGATGTCAAGCTGTGAAACAGCAGCACAGGCGATCGCCGAAAAAAGAATCCCTACTGCGGTAGCACTATATTCTTCAACAAACGCTGCGATACCTGTGAACTTTGTCATGGTCTTTCTGTTGCAATGTCAAGGAACCTTAACCGCCGAAAATAGATCCAAGGAAAGAAACAAGGAGATAGAGACCAAGTGAACTTTGAGGTCTGAATCCCATGGTAAGCAAACTAGCAGTTCCACACCTCCGGCTCATCAGCCTGCCAGCGAATGAGTTCCGAAACTCAAGCCTGCTGAGAATGTCATGGAACAAATCCTCACCCTGTTCACAAAAACTGTCGTGTGATATGGGTATGTTCATAGGGAGACACCCTCTGGCCTAGACTGGTCTATTTTCCTTCCAGGGGTCTTTGGGAGGCCTCCCTATTTTATCCTATTCTAGTACACACCCGGATGTGTGAAGATCCTTCCCACCTTCTCAGGAGACGCTTGCTTCGCTTGCTGGGACTCCATCTTCCTGGAAAGCTTCAAAACGCAATGAGTTCCTCTCTCCATGTGTTGGTGTCGCATCCAGAACACAGAATCCGAAGCAGCTCCACAACATCAGTAGGTTGCACAGTCTACTTTCACCCGAGCAACATCAGAAGTTCCACATGATGGATCTTTTTTAACTAACATAGTAACTGTAAAAGATACATGATGATACTAGAGTATCTAGTGATAACTAGTAGCTGCAACGAGAGTGGTGACGAGTCTAGTGCGGATCCCCATCCTCCTCAAGATCAAGGCCATTTGACCGGCATTCGTCTGGCAGCCTCTGCTGTTCAGCCAAGCACACACCTCGCTCGCTCGGTTTCCCGCGTGCGGTCCACCGACGTCCGGCGTGGAAAACCACCTGGGAAACGCATGGTTGGTCGTTCGGCATGGTGGATCTTCTATGTACTCAACCGGATGGCTGTACATCCGGGGTAAACATCAACCTCTAACTTTGAAGATCTTTGAATGCCACTCTGCCAGGCTGTTCAGGCGACACCTCCGTGCAGTTGCCAAGGAACGACACCTGTGTGAAAGCTGACACTCCGAGTCAAAGACCCACACATGAACCTGAAAACAAAGCCATTGGGGAGGCGCTTTTGCTCTGCACAGTTCTTGGATCCGTTTCCATCCCCTTGGGACCCCCACCGCTGAAGGCAGCCGCCCTTGCTGGATCCACAGCAACTGGCGCAGCTGTCGCCACGCCAACTTCACTCGGAACTTGTCGCCGGGCGACAGGTCCTGCGCTCGGTCCACTCCGGGCGGGGGGCGCCGTTCAATACAAGACACGGAGGCAATGGGTCGAAGAGGGTCGAAGTTGTACTAGCATAGGGAAAATAACACTCCCAGTTCAACCACGTTGGAAGAGGCCATATAGACCAGTCTACCCCTTTGGTTGGGGGGATGTTGGGGGGTCCACTTTTACAATATAGACACATTTCATCATACTTCAGAACTTGCGTGGCCCTGATTTCAGAACTTGTGTGGCCCATCCAAAGTCTTGCCTTTCTCGGATGAAAGCAGGTGTTCTGGAACAAACTCCATGCATTTGGTCAAATCGAAAAGAAACACCAACTCACCTGGAGGTGGTCCGGGTCGAACTCTTCACTGGCCGACTGGATTCGATACTGACGGTTCCCAAGGAACTCCAACGGACGTCCTGTTTCACGTTCACAGCATTCCGTGCACGCCAGTTAAAACAAGGCGCGGACTTCAAAGGGAAACGTGCATTTCAACGTCAGATCTGTTGGTTTCTTCTTTTGCAAGGCATCCACCTGGTAAGTGGGGTGGCGCCAAAACCGGCCTCTAGCGGATCAATGCCATCCAAGCTGTCTAAGGGCTTGTTGCTGAGGAACTCCTGGTGTTTGCAGAAGGGCACAGCCAACTTTTGGTGGGTCTATCCACCAAAAAGCGCACACGGTGGGGAGATCAAAGGGCACAGCTCCACTTTCAGGACCTGAAAGGAAGCAACCGAAGTAACAGGTTTGGTTGTTACCTCAGAAGTCTTAGGAAGCTGGGAGCCGGAGCCAGCTCATGCATATATGTTATTGTCATTGCACTGGATATGCATCTCAAGACGGTGAAGGCTTAGACCAGGCAGGTTGCCAAACTTAGACCAGCTGGCGCAAGCAGGAGCAAGCTGGCCGCATCTATCTACACTGACACTCCCTGAAACAAGCATTGGTTCATGGAATGGCAGGTTTTTCCCTTCAGACTCGGATGAAATCCGTTCAATCCGAATGCTATACCGAATGCCAAGCTCAGGTGGGTGCCATCCACGTTTCACTCAGGGTGAGTGGTTGCTCAGGTTGTCCCGCACCTCGCAGGTCGCCACGAGTTGCTGTCCAGCCTCCCAGCGCGCGCGCGCGAAACCGGTGCGAAGGGATGGAAACGGAAGAATGCTGTGATTCCAAGATGGTAGAGGTTGAATCTAAGAACCCCATCTAAGACGTTTCATGTTGTTTGATGAATTCTAAACAGTTGAGAAGACTTTTTGGAAGATTCGGCTTCGATTGCTCGCTCTTGGACGAACTGTTTGTCTCTATCTATCCCGCCGCTTGACTGCCTTTAGTTAATTTTGCGTCCTTTGAAACGCGTCTTCGCTTATTCTTAGATGTCGGAACGACATTCCGTGGGACATCTCGAAGTTGAATCACCGATATCGCTGCGTGGGTATCGAAATTCATTGAAATATTATAAGGAGTTTCCCCATTGGGAGACTCTCCAAAGATTCCCAAAGAACGACGGTTAAAGAGAAAACTCAAGTACTTACAATTCTAATCCATGTGCAAGAAACCCTAAGACCCACTTTTGAAAAGGATCCACTTTGCATTGGAAGTCCATATATAATCAATACTCCCGTACTCACTTGAATCCAAGTTGCTTGGAATGTCCACCACATCTGCAGGAGGTCGGTCACGCACCAAAAAATAGCAATGACCTGATGCTTGGTCAGGGATTCATCATGTTCAAAGCTCAAAGTCCTTTTGTATTTTATACACCAGGATGATCACCAGGAGAAACCTTGGGCTAGACATGGCTAGACCTGAAGCAAACCGCTTGGAATGAAGGACGATTGTAGGATATTGTAGGTATGAACATGCGGTCGTCGCTGCGACAGGTTCGAGTGAGAAACTCTGGACGTTGCTTTCAGACAGGATGCAACACTCAAAGGGGTATCCCGAGTGTGTGTGTGAGAGAGCGAGAGAGAGAGAACGCAGAGATCTTCTACTCAACTCATTCTCGATCGATGTCCATGTCGCCACCGCACTGCTCCAACTGTACAAGGAGATGGACGTCCTTTCTAGTCCTGTCTATAAATGATACGAAAATGTTCTGTACAGAAACAGTGATGGCTCCATGGCCAAGCTGAGCAGGATCTCAGTACACATCCGCAAAGGCATATAGGTTTTTGCAGACCCGTGCTCACTATCGTGCATCCAAGAAGTCTTGCACGCGCTCACTATCGCCCCCATACCTGCCATATCCAGATCGTCTCTTGCGGCGGGGATGGTCAAGGTCACGTGGCCGTGGGGTGTTCCATCCCGATCGGGTTCGTCCGACGTCGGTTCGGACCACGCACCTCATTTTCGGGACTCGTTCCCGATCTCGCGTTCCGGGTGGGTTGTTTGCCCTGCTCGTTCCTCCCTTCGTCGATTTCGACCCGAGTTTTCGGATCACGGGGCACCCGTTCGTTTGTTGCTCGCTCGGTTGGTTCGGTGATAGGTCGTCTGGTGATGGCTCGGTCTTTCTGAAGGCGGCCTCAAACCTTGATTTCACAGCTTTCTACCGGTATTCCCGGGATTCTACTGTATAATAAGTGCTTCGATACCATCTGGGCAATATAGAATAATTCCTGGGTCGTCGGTTAATTTCGTTAAATTCAAAACTGAATTTAGTGACGTCGTCGAAATTAACGAAATTATGGTGACGTCGTTGTGCCCTAACGCCCCCAGCCAGCCAACACGCTGGCCAGCCAGGGGCGACCAAAGCTGAAGCCACGTGTCCACCTGCGCGCGAGAAGGCTCTGGCTAGTGGAACTGAGCGATTGCAGTGGGTCTTTTGTGGTTCACACAATTTTGTTCGTGTAGTTTGTTCTACTACAAAGGGTAAACCTTGTTGGGGACCAGTTTTGTCCCTTCCAATGGTTCATTCCTAGTTTGTTCGTGTAGTTTGTGCAAAGGGGAAATAGTCCTCACTCCTAGTAGTGGAAGGGGCACCAGCAATAAGTTTGGTCGTTCGCACGAAGATCAAGAGCCAGCTCAGCAAGCACAATGGATTTTTGCCAGGGAGGGAAAACTATTGCTTGAGGTAGGGTGTTTTCCTCAGCTTGGCTAGTACATGCAAATTTGACAACACGCAAAGGAAAGCTAGCCAAAACCAATTTTTCCCAGCGTAGTTTGCCGAGCTACAACCTAATAAAGCCCCAACAATCCACTTTCAAGGCCGCCAGGCCTCAAATCCTAGTTCGGCGAACTAGGCCCAAAAACGATTTGGCCAGGAAAGAACCAGTCAGGTTGGGTGTGAAAGGGAAAACAACCAAACCATCACTTCAAGTTCCAAGGATCCTTTTCGTCCACAAGATCTGGCTGAATGCGCCGTCTCTGAGAGGCTTTGGGGCTAGGGAACACGCTTGGCCGAACGCGGTCCGTAGGTGTTGACTGACATCCTCTTCCCCATGCAAATCCAGTCCTAGATCCAGTGCCCACGCCCGCCCGCGCCTCCAAAATCTCTGCCAGGACTGTGAAGTCGATGAAGTGTGTGTGTGTGTGTTTTGCGTGTGTGTGTGTGTGATGTTAGTATGACCATAACCATACCTTAATTTCAGATTGCTCGTTAATTTCAGGGTGACGTCGGTGACGTCGTTTTATATTGCCTAGATACCATGCAGTCACCCCAAGTAGGGGAGTCAGATGGAACACTGGAATGCCTATTACAATTGAATCTCTCCGAGAGCTGCCAAGCTTCAGAACTAGCAGCTCCCTCAGTCCATCAGTTCCATGGTTCAAGCTCAGGTCTCGGGGTTTTCCCATGTTTTCCCTGGAGCTTGGTCCTTCTTCTCACCCCCACTTGGGTTCAAGCACCCGATGCGTCCGCGCACGCGTCCGCGCGGACGGCGCGGACGCCTGCGGTCGCCCCAGGTCACCACGGAGCCGTCGCAGAGCACCGCGGCGAAGGCGCCCGCGGAGACGTGAAGGTTGGCCACGTCGATGAGCCGCTCTTCCACGCTGCTGAAGCTCACCTGAGCGGTGCGTGGTGCCACTGGCAGGTGGTGGGGGGGAGGGAGGGAAGGCAGGAACGAAAGGGCAACGTCAAAAAGCATATTAACTGGTCTGTGGCAAATGGGCGAGGCTATCCCAGCACAAGCCTGTCCTGAAATCTCAGCAGAGGCACGATGTTGTGCGTACGTTCGCTTTCTCCCCACGAAACCACAGCACCATCAGCTGTCCTTGCATACAACTCTTTAACAATGCGGAAAAAAACAAAAACTCCAAACATGCGCCCTTCAGGTCACGGATAGTCATGGTGGATGGTCATGTCATTGGAGTCAACGGGGCCCCCGTTGGCCGCTGGAGTCGCGCCGTTCGGCGTTCGGCAGACTGGCACCAAGCTGCAGAGCGGCCATGCCATATGCGGTGCCGCGAACTCGCATGATATTCTCAAGTACACGGTGACCGTGTTTGCCCCAGCAAATCGCCTTCCGATCGGCACTCAGCGCAGCGAAGCATCCTTGAAACGCTTGGAGCTCCACAATGTTGTGGAGCTCACCTTGCACCTCGTTGGAGTTTCCACCACCGCTTGCATCGCCCCAGGTGACAACCGATCCATCTTTCAGAAGAGCTGCAAAAGCACAGTCATTCGCATGTAAGGCCTCCACATCTCTCCTTGGACTTGCTTAAGAATCAAACCAAAATGTTGTCCCATTCCATGGAATTCATCTCAGACAAATAGAACTAAAATAGAATCAATCATACCTCCGCCACCCCACCAAAACATCAAACCAACTAAATCCAGGTCTCAATCTCTCTTGCACACCTGAGGAGTCTCCGCCGGTCTTCGCGTCGCCCCACGTCACGACCGCGTCGCCTCCGGTCTTCAACGCGGCGAAGGCCGTCTCGGAGGCGCACAGCTGCTGCACGCCGCTGCGGAGCCTCACCCGGTCCCCGGACCCCCCCGGCGCCGCCCCAACACCAGCGACGCCCGGGGGCCCAGCGTCCGATCGCTCCGAACTGAGGTCGTCGGGTGAGCAAGTTCGTCTCTGGTCCGAACTGACCCGGCTTGTGACCGTTCGTATGTTTGCAGTGGATAGTTACACATCCGTCCCGATGGACTCGAACGTGCACCACATGAATGTGGAAAAAATGACTCCAGTGGATGACGCACTGGAAGAAGACCAATACTTATCAAAAACATTCAAAAACAACCCATCTTCGGCTCCGGATGATAGGAAAAGGAATCGAACAGTCTGAAGGCTCCCAGGGCTAGACATGGGACCGCCGTCTTACCCGCTGTCACACTGCTCGCTGTCACACTAGCGAATGCCCAGGTCAACGAACGGTATCATATGGATGTGAAAAAAGAAACGGTATCACGGTGTCAACAAGGAACGCCTTTCAGCCCTCTACAGAGTTGGCCTTCGAGTTCGGCCCAAAAAGAACACACACAGCTCGCTCCGACGCAAACAAAAAAAACACACACAATCCAATCCTCACACCGGGCAGCTGGTCTTCCACCCAAAAGCTGCCACCACCCTCGGTGACCATCCCCCAGGTGATCACGGATCCGTCCGAGCGGAGCGCTGCGAAGGCCCGTCGGGTCGCACAGATGCTGGTGACGTTGGTCAAGGCATCTTTCACCCGGCTGCTGTCGCCACCCTCGCCTGAGGACTTCGGTCCAGGACAGAGGAGGAGCGACTGAGCTACAAGTATAGGAGCTATATATGAGCGCTCTGCATGCCGCGGCCTGAAAAAGGGAGTGAAAACTAGTTATAGTTGCATATATGGTATCCATCATTCATGGGCTTTAAATGTTTTAGTCCGCACATCACTAACTCATCAGAGTTCAGTTTCAATGCCCTATATCCCTGGCAATCTTCAGGCCTACTTATTTGCAGTCATTTGTTGGTGTAGGTGTTTTTTGTGTTCCGACAGTATATTTTGAGGTCCGACCACGGTTTTTGAGGTCATTTGCGGGTATCTCTTTTTAATGGACTTTGAGCAAACTTTATTCCCAGCACAAATGGGTTTAGAGTGATTTGGAAAAAAACTCACCAGATTACGTAAGTATTTGATAAATTGATACATAGGTTGGCATATATACCCACCTGGTACATGTGGTTCTGGGAGTAAATTCCAAGGGGGCGATCCTTCAACTTCATGTTTGAAAGAAATTCCAGAGGAGTTCGGAGTTCTTGTGTTTTTCAAAAAAAATACCCAAACATCCTCCCACCATCCACCATCCACATCACGTCTTCTCCAAGCCACAGCTGTTGCCCCAGGTCACCACGCTTCCATCGTCACGGATCGCCGCGAAGGCGCTCTCCGAGCTCCGCAAACTCCGCACGTCCTGCAGCTCCGTCGCCACCCTCGAGGAGTCGCCTCCACGCGCAGCGAGAGGAGAGGCAACTGGCGGTCTCCAAAAGGGACGACCACATTGGAGGTCATAGTCCAAAGAATATACCAAAGCGCAAGGACCTGCCCTTTTTCTACACAACTGGCGGTGGAATGTGGGTGGTAGTATCTCCTCTACTTCCAATTACTTCAATGTACAGTGAATAATCAAAGGCCGTCTATGGCTGAGGCTCAGCACCATGTCCAGAAGGTTCCGTTTTGGGGGTGTCCGACACGTTGACCGAGCGTAGGCGTATCTGAAGAAATCCATCATTAAGTCTTTCATAGTCTTTCACTTATGCAGGACTTGAATCTTCCTCTGCTAGCAGAGCTTTCGCCCTCTTGAAAAAACCACTCTACTAAGCGCCAGTGTTTCAGCCTTTCTTTGTCTCTTTCCATCCTTTCCTCCTACCACTCAGCGTCTCCATGTCTGCATGTCGGCCAAAAACACGCGTCGCACCAAAATCGTGTGTAGAATACCGGCAGCATGGCACCTCCGAAGTTGGCATGCAAGGGTCCCCCCCAGGTGACAACACGTCCATCGCGCTTCACCGCCGCAAAGGACCGGGACGTGGCATAGAGACCGATGACCTCGCGCAGCTGATCGCTGACGCTGGACTTGTCGCCGCCCGCCATGGCCTCGCGGGAAAGAGAGAGAGAGAGAGAGAGCGAGAGAGAGTGGTGGTGAAGTTGAGGGGAGCTGCGAGAGTTGGTGAACTCCAAGATACTTGTAGATCAAGAATCAAGAAGTGACTTCTCTATGGAAACTTGAATTGCTTTTGTTTGGGGGGAACGACAAGTCTAGGATTGAAAGGCCTCCAATCTAATCACGACCCCTTTGGAGATTTGGGTGAACAAATGCATATTGGGATTTATCATGATTTGTCCACTCAATTGTCCTGTTAGCAGGTTAGCAACTTCGTTTCACCTTGTCCCAACACGGAGAAGTAGTCTCCAAGACCTCTCCCAAAACACCCTGGCCTTGCCCCAACAAGCCACAGAGCCATCCGGCTTCAGTGCGGCAAAGGCCCCGAGCGTCGACTTCACTTCCACCACGTCTCGCAGGTGTTCGCAAAAGTCATCGGTGCAGGCGAAGCCGCCCCAAACCACCGCCTGGGTCGCGCGCCGTTTGTGGGGCCGAGGAACCTGGACAACGTCTAGAGCGCCGAGTCCGAGTGATGCCGGCACTCGGAAAATGGACAACGCTATGCCCGAGATGACATGGGACTGGCATATTTGCTGACCGTCACCTGTTGGAATGTATGTAAATATGCCAGTCCTATGCCAGTCCTATGTGACCTGAATCAGCTGAGTCTTCCTATGCTGGATGTCATATTGAAACATATCATTGACCTGATGGTTCAATGCTGGGGGTCACCCGATGGTTCATTGCTCGGGGCCACCGGGCTCTTTTCACGAAAGTCCTTGAGCTTGAGAGGCATCACACTCCCAAAAGGAAACAGGCAGGTGATTGGATCTTTGTCATTCTTTGCATTGCCGGTAGTTTTCAAAAACAAACACACGCCAAAACCATTCGGAAGGGGATTCTCAGGTGCGGTTCGCATGAGAAAGCCTCCAAACGCATGTTTCTTGTGGAAAAACACCCTCTTGGCAGACTTGCTCGTCTTCCAAAGTCCCGGTTTGTCCGAGCTCCCAGGTCGCGAGCTCCGCTCCGTCTGAAGCGAAGCCAGGGCTCGCCACCGTCCGGGCGGATGGCCAGAAAGGCACCACCGTCCAAGGCAGTTCCACAGGACAGGGGCCAAGCATCCGCTGAGGTGCACAAGGCTTCGAAGCCTTGGGAAGAAGGGGAAAGAACCTGTCAGGACGGCCATCTCCCTGTTAGCCATGGCCACTGGGTTGGAGGAAAACGTTGGAGGCCATCGCTATGATAGGAAGGAGGCCATCGCAAGCGACAAGCGGCTAATTCAGAGAAGTGGAGCACAGGATTCATAACATAAAACTGGATGTTCACCCATCAAACTGGTGGTTTTTCTGCAATCCATGCCTAATTGTGGGATGCTTTCCCAAAATCAACCCCAGAAGACCAGAAGACCCATAAAACTCCCACTCACTCAAGACGGCTTACCTATTCAAACAAGGTTCTTTCCACTTCCACATCACATCTCAAAATAAACCTGGCAAAACCAAAGACTTTCCACACACACCCTGAGAGTAAAGCGCTGCAGGAGAAAGGGATGAGCTCCTTGGTTAAAAAACTGACCCTCACATGTGACAATCTTTGTCCAGGAGCCAGAGATGACCTGCAGCTTTGAAGCAACACCAATGAGTGTGAGTGCAGCGTTCGGCGGGATCTCAAGATCATTCAAGCGCCACCAAGATCCCAAGGCCTGCGGCCCATAGTAGAGACGGCCTCGCTTTCCAGCTTAGTTTACAGCATGACAATTGGCTGGTGGAAAGACACAACTCTGAAATCAAACAACCGTCAAACCCACAACAAAAAACGACATGAAAGCGGTCAAGCAAAACATGCAAACAGAAGGAAAACATGAAGCAAAGGCACCACCATAACCACACATCAGAAAACAAAAAAATACTTGTTCTACAGTGAGATAGGAGACAACAACAAAAAACTTTGTATGAAACACATTCCAGTTCATCAGCACCAACCTCTTCCAAGGTGCTGATGTGTAGCTCTAAGGCCTCACTGGAGAGCTTCATGACTTCCATCACTCTGCAGGTGTGTTCCAGCGAGAGCTTCACGCTGCGGCCGCTCAAAATGGACACCTCCACATCCATCATTGGAGACGCAAGTGACGCACTCGCAGCGCAGTCACAATCTCACTGGTCGTCGGAACCCATGGAATGCGACATTCAAAGAAGAAAAAACGATGAACAATAGAAGGTTTGAAGCCCTAAGAGATCCTGAGAGTAGATAGAGCCTGAGTTAGGGGGGCAAGAGTGACTTGCTGAGATGAGAGTCAAGCATGTTCACCGTGAATTGTGTGATTAGACTTCAGGGCGGGCATGGCCAAATACACATATATATATATGTATATATGCAGTGCATATCTACAAAATGGTGTCCTCTGCATATATTGGTGTCCGTAGTGCGATGGAACCTTGATCGATGCAAGTGCTACAGGACTCATCAGACAGACTCACGCAAACGAATTGACTCATCGAAAGCAAACCGCATGACGCGTGATGCTCATGTCGCCCAGAAATGCTCTCCTGGTCAGGTCCATTCACAGGAGTTATCAGGTCTACTTGGCTCCAAGATCCTTGCAAGGAGCCTTTCTTCAGCTCGCTCATTGAGAAAGAGAACGCTCCCTCAGTTCCTAGCATAGCCTTCACCCAGAAGAGCATAATTATCTTTCAAACTTTCTGTGGGTTGTTATGTTATTACGTTAGTTTGCTATTACGACAGTTCAGAAACATCACTATAAATGCTTTCCAGCGAGACCTCGTCCCAAACCGCTTTGCCTCCGAATGACATGTGCTTTTTTGGACCACGCGATCTCTCACCCGCCCAACCAGGTCTTTCTCCCGGCCCCGGACCAACGCCAGCGCCATGAACACGGCCAGCACATCGACCCGATCCTGCGAGGTCTCGCCAGGTGCCTCCAGGCGCGACACGGCGAGTCAGGCGCCCGGATGGAGTGAGGCGCTTCTCGAACGAAGCGCCCTGATTGTGCGCCCCCCCTCTAAGTCTTCTTCTGCCTGCGGTTGGATGGGTTTAGATGCCGGCTATAGATGGCCAAAAATGGTTGATGGACACAATATGCTGTAGTGTATTTAAGATGTGTTTCAAAAGTCAACGATTCCAAGTCAATGTCATGAATCAGAAAGATGTGGTAGCGTTGATTGAAAAGAGAATCCGGAACACCTTGAGAAATGGTCAGAATCCTTTTCTCACATATGAACACAGTGGATCGGAGATGAATGGAATTCCTGGCTGATGTCATGTCAATCACATGTCTCATCCATGGATTCCGCTCATGAACTGAGAATTGGTCAGTTGGTGACATGTCCCACCCACAAACGAACCCTGCAACACCCCCACGCTCGCACGCTCCACCGCTCGTGTTTTTCGCGCGTTTGCTTGGGCGTCCAGCCACTTCAATCAGCAGAAGGAACAACAACCTTAGGCCACAAACTGACATAGGCTTGCCACAGAGGGTGTGCCAAAAACGGCTGCTCAGCAGGGTTGAAGATGTGCACATCTGTCACGGCACCCTCTTCCAGGCACCAGGGCGAACCGATTCTGCTCGGGATTCATCCGATCGGTCCCAAGATCCCGCTTCTGCGGCAGGTCATCAGAGCGCGGTGGTTCGACAGGGAGGTCATGCATGCGGCAGAATGTGTGTTTTTGGGGCAAAAAAAACACAAGATTTGTTTTTGGGGGTAACTTCTGTTGGGCACTGGAAGCATACCTTCGCAAGCCTTGGCAAGACATATGTTATTTTAAAGGGTGCCTTCCTGTCTACACTTGTATTATGTGGTGCCTTCGCGATATGCTTTCGCAGACCTTTTTGGCGTTCCACGCGTCCTTGGAGGGATAGGAAAAACATATTCCGGAAGAGATGAACAATGTCTCCACAGCTGCAAAGAATACTCATCGCTGCAAGAAAAACTCAATATGTTTTATGATTATGCTTTTTTTGACATGCAAATTGCCTTTGCGGAGAATTTGGCTTTGGATGCCTTCGCGCATGCGCAAAACTGTGAGAAGCGCGGGCTATTGTGCAGTTCTACTTTCATATAATCATATAATATGTATATATATATATACAAACCTTTACAGCCTCTACATGCCCCAAAAACGCTGCTCATCCAATTTGAGTTGGAAAGCAAAAAAAGTTGTTGAAGATTGAAGATTTGGAGCATCCTATTGAGAGCTTTTCAAGAAAAACACATCTTTCTTGGACGATGCGGGATCCACACTGGGGCACACTAGCTCACGATCTTCGATGATCCGCATGTGAAGACCTCTCTTTCGGGCTCCCGCCCTTCCCACGTCTTTTTTCTGCCCAGTGACAACAGGCTGCTGCAACACCAATTTGGCACTTGTAGCCGGACAGGCATTTCCTCACGAAAGTGAGGTCAAAAACCAACGCACAATGGTCAAAAGACTGAACAGAAAAACCATCGAGTCATCCTCAGTGTAGTCAAATAGTAGTCAAAGGTTTGATGTCTAGATGGGTCAAACCCAAGCCTCAGCACACCTTCAACTAAGTAACCAAACTGATTTCAGCCTCCTACAGACCCTGCTCAACACCACCAACACTAAGTCATGCTGCTGTAGGGAGTCTATCCACAAATCTCACCAAGAAAGCTCCCTCTCTCTCTCTCACCCTCTATCTCACCTGCAGCAAATGCTGGAGATGATGTTCATCTCTTCGTTTCATATCGAATTCAAAGCCCTTGTCTTCATCCTGAGCCGAACATGGAATTTCTCTTAAAGACATGGAGTCATGTGTAATGTGTAGCGGAACTGTCAGAGACGAGTCTGCCTGTTCTCCAAGCTGTGCTTGCTTTCTTCCAAATGATTTCATGCCGCCATAAGACCAACAAAAAGAGACTTCACCACGCAAAAAGAGATCCTATTCCTATATTCCTCCCATACCGAACGCGTTCCTTCATTAAAGCTCTGATGTGGGAGGTTTCATGATGTCTTATTCATCGACATGAAAAGAAAAACCGTCTTCGCCTCCAACTTCGCCACATCTGGCCCATCACGGCCACAGGTGAAGACCCTTCGCCTGGTCACACGCCGGTTAGGGAAACCCGATGGAATCGGGACAGGTCCGGGTCCGTCTTCAGGTGGAGCCAACTGCCACCAGTGGCCCATGTCGGGTGCAGCAACATGTCGGTGAAGATATGATCCAGATGGATCCCGGGCCTTCCAGGTATGCCCTCGGTCATGACATCATGTGACATCAATGCGACTCCGTGACCGAAAAGGTGGCAGTACCTCTGTTCACTCAGTCAGCTCACTCCCACCTGCTTCACATAGAGAGCACAAAAACATCCCTTCACCGCCGCCCCAGATTTCGGTCGAGAGCCCCGCCTGTTGAGATACATCGTGACCTTGCACATGATTGGCCCCACAAAGGGCACCGGAAGCCAGGCAAAGGCACAGAGGTATGTGCTCGCATCGGCCATGGACCGGGTCGACACCTGGACCGGGTCGACGAGGAGAACGAAGCATAACAAAAGAAAATGGAAAGCGCATGAATGGGACCATCTCCTACTGAACTGTAGGCTTCTACTATGGGCTAGCTGGTTGCCTAGAATCCTATAGACATGATATGGAAGTTGTGCAACACTGCCATCCTGCAACAAAACGCCTGTGAGGTACATATTTGAATCAACACGTGTTTCGGGCGTGCTACGCAATAGACGGGTTACCAAAGATCGAATTCAGCATGTTACTGCAAAATCATGGCGACAACTTCACTAAGGTCTGTAAATTATGAGCTAAAGAACATACAAACAAATTGCCCATCCCTCTTCAAAGTAGATCTACATCATTCCGTGGGGACAAAGCAATGAACCTCCCCCCACCATGTATCTCCAATGCAAATGTCTGTTTTGTCTTGTCTTCTTGTTAGCTTCCAGTCACGAATTCACCTGTGAAACGCAAGTTGTGCGTGTGAAACGTGAAGCACTCTCTCACTCAGCTTCTTCTTCTTCGTCCGGCAGGGGGTCAACGCCAACTGCAGCGTCCACCCCAGTGACTGGATCAACTGGGCTCTGGGAGACAGATCTCTTTTCACATAAGTGGTACCAATAGACATTCAAATCGTCATCACCTGGAACTGATCGGGCAAAGGGACCTAGGAGAAAACATATACAAAAAACCATTCTGGCGTTTCTTCCGAAAAGGGCTCCCTCTAGACAAAAAGAATCCTCTAAGTGATTACACTCCGATTGACTAACACGGAAGTGGATGGCATGGTCCGTTGGATGACTCTTCTCCGAATACCAAACAGGTGGTTTTCCTCCACTTCCATGTTATAGTGAGTCAAAAGTAGGCTCAAACGGTCACGTACCCACCGAATGGTATATCTACCAGGTCACGGAAGGGCACCCATGGCCCCGTCTCCACGGTGGATCTGGCTCGATCCGTCAGCACCTGTGCCTCCTCAGGAGGCACCAAGAAGCCACCCCGGAAGATCTGACCCGTGTTGTCGATGGTGAGATGCACATGCTGACGGCGCTTCCCCTTGCGGTGCAAGCGGATGAAGCACTCGGTGCAGAACAAATCCACACAATCCTCGCAAAGCACGGAAGCATTGTAGTGCTCACACTCCAAGCACACGAGGCCATTGATGACACGCTTCAGGTGATTTCGCAAGTCTGGCCGCGCAGCATCCCAGGCATGAACATGCATGAAGCCTTCATCGGAGTAGAAAAGTCCGCACTGCACACATTGACAGGTTGCAACACGATCCTCAAAGGCGGCACAGACGAGCTGCTCCACATCTGAGGTGATGTGAGCACGTCGTTTGCCTGTGGCATGAGTACTGTTGAAGCAGTCTTGACAAAAATAGTCCTTGCACTGCTCGCACTTCAGCACGGCCGCACGGTTTTCGCACTCCTGGCACATGACCACCGTGCTGGGCTTCCGAATCACATCCACCTGATTCTGCTTCTTTCGGATCTGCCGAAGGAATTCGATGGGATCCTTCAGGTCTTGCACGATGCTACTGAGATCCAACTTCTTCTCCACGTAGGCCTCGATCGTTTGCTTCACCACACGGAAGAGGAAGAACTCCTCGAGTGAGGAACGAAACGGTGCACGGAACGAAACGGGCCGCCGGTGCCGGTTCAAAGCAATCAGAGCGTCTGGGCCAGTCATGGACGAAAAGGCGACCCGGCAAGACGACCCGGTGAGGTCTCTCCAATTTAGTTCCCAAACACTTGGCCAACAACCATGGAACGCCACTTGACTCACCCGGATGTGTGGTTTCCTCCATAGGTGAACAAGAAAAAGAGGTGAGAAGCGCTTCTTGTCTTAGAGTCCCAAGCCCCCCGATCCAACACCCCCCGCATCTCCTTCTTGCTGTCCACGCTAAGAACTCGCGCCAGGCTTTCCACCACTTCTGGAGTCGCTGGAGGCAAGCCTTACAAAGGTCGAAGCAGGACCAACCGCCCGTGTCCCAATGCGAATGGTGTGGGATTCATTGGGATGGTGTCCCAATTGATTGGTTTCCCCATCTGTTCCCAAAATAACTGTTGGAAGTAGTTTTGATCCCATCCAAATTTGGTAAGAGTCACCAACTCCTGTCTTTGCCCAAGTTTAGGAGGTCAAAAAGGTGAAAACCTTCTCCAATGCGAAGCCCGGAGAGTCCCTTGGAGGCTCGTCCCATGACCGAGGCAGTGATGGCGGCCATCTTGGCATCGGTCTGCTCCAACAGGTGGCCAATCTGACCACTCTCCAGCTGCTTGGTATAACTCCTGGCCTTGAAGTAGACCTCTTGATATCCTCACAAACAGAACAAGAAAAATCCGGTTAGGACCCAAACAGAAGCAGGTTTACAAGCCATGTATGGTGTCCTTCAAAAATGGAGGTGCGTGTTGCCTTACAATTTTATCATGTTATGTTCCAAAAGAAAGCAAACAATGTCTCAAAGGAACAGCTCAAAAAAAAGAAACAGAAATGCTTTTGAACATGATCTCTAGAACTCCCCAAAATGTTCTTTACATGCCAAAGGCTCGCAAGATCAACGGATGAACCTTCTGGAGTTTCCGCTCTTGCGTGTGGTAGTACAAGATCTCTCCATCCTCATTGGTGAGCTCCTTCCAGTCCGGTGGAAGATGAGCCCGCGACGCCTCCTCCGCGATCCACAGAAACTGAGGTTCGTTCACGATGTCGATGCCAATCCTCGGCTGGAGAGGAAGAGATGAGCCCAGAGCATTCCTCTGGTCTTTGGAGGAGGTTGTAGCTGGTTTGTGGGGTATACTACTTCTCTGATGCTCTAGGGAAAAAACGTCCGGTGCCACCTTTGGCGACACAAAGTTCTCGGAACACGTTCTGGTGCGATGCAGAACGTAGAAGAGATGGCTTTGAAGGACCAATCACGGTCAACCCCTGCAGTAGACATTGTAGATCGGTGTCTCCAAGGAGATCTGACCGACTCGCTGAACTGTTGGCACTTGTTTTCGTCTGAACAGCGGCAATGAGATCCCTCCACTTGAACACACGTGTGTCAGCATATACACCTTCAACAATCGCATGAAAAAAAGAAAAAAAACTAAAACCAAGCCCACCGAGAATCATGTCTGCGATGCCCACCACCACTTCCGCCGAGTTGGCGCCCTCTGGGATTTCCTCCTCCGCTTCATTGAGCACTGCGAGTTTCGGCATGGCGGCACGAGGGCGGCCAAGGCCCCAAAACGGGCGATGTTTCCGTGTGGGAAGTCAATGGGGGATGTGCTTCGCAGGCATAGGTTCAAATGGGGGTTGGAGCTGGGAGATGAAGCCCTTTGGCAAACCATGTAACTGTCTGCTCGTCCTGTGAGCCTGCAGTTAAGAATCACACGCCCACGTGGCTGCGAATTTGAGCCGCACACATGTTGCATGTCGGTTTCTTGCATCTGCATATCGCGCACGTTGCGATTTGCTCTCTCTAGGGTCTCATCACTCGCCTTGAGCGAAAAACCGTTAACCTTCAAAACCCCCAACAAGAACCATGAAGCAGGGGTACGATGTTTTAACCGTTGAGTCGTGAATAAATTGCACAAGTTCCTTTACGGTGGTTGGTTGGGGTAACCTATCATGACGTTGGTCTTATCTCTGGTTCCAACACGCACGATTTAGACCGAACTCCGTTGAGTGCCGAGAGGCCAAATCAAAGTTCGCGCCAGCCGCTTCCTCGCCCTCCGTGGTTGTTTCCTCCTACCAAAGTGGGAACGTTCTTTCTGCAAGTCCCAGCAAATGTGTTTTTGCTCGCCTTCGAATGGATCGAACTACAGGAAACCTTCTAAAATAAAGCGCCAGAACTAGAACATAGAAGAATAACAAATGACAAAGACCTTTGCAGGAACCTTCTGGCAAAATCTGTCGGGGAGAGCAACGCGGGCTTTAGATAATGTCAATCGGAAGACCCGATTGGTCCGCGCAGACGTCCATTCCACATGGAAAGAGCGATGACTTCAGAACTGTTTCAAGCGCCTCACGTGGCATAGGATCCAGCCATTCCAGGCGCCCCGAGCATTGCTCGATCTCCATGGTGCCTTCGGTCCAGACCTCCGTCGTAGTACGGTCGGCTTCTGAACCAGGCAGACTGCTATAGCAATCCTTCTCTTCTTGAACGAACATCAACTCCAGGGCATTCCAGGGCTGATATGGAGGAGAGCGACGAACAGCTACTCACAAAAACAGGTAGGTGACCAAAGCTATTGCGAGGCTCATTAGGATGTCCACCCTTATAGCCGTCTAAACCCAAACTAAACTAATCTTCCAACGCTCAAACACATCTTTTTACGCAGTTCGAGCCCTCTTCGCACAACACAAGGTCCACCCAGCTTTCTTTTGGGACCACGCTCGCAAAACGCGAGCGGCTTCTATGTGGCCCCTATGACTTGCAAAATGCCATGGCGTGAAGCCGGCAACTGTTTTTGCATCATGCGAAGCTCCAGAATCAAGTAGCAGGCGCACTATGTCCACGGAGCCACTGGCCGCTGCCAAATGCAATGCAGTTTCGCCGCAAGCCATTGTCCCATCAAGGGTTGCGCGATGCCCCACTAGATGCTCCACCAGCAAGTGCGCGACTTCCAGCCGGGAACAATCCGCTGCCATGTGGAGGCCACTCATTGGGGTAGGAGACAAAGCCTTAGTTGCACCATTCTGCAGCAACCACCGCAGCACCTCCACGCGTCCTGCAGCAGATGCGACGTGTGCAGCTGTCATGCCAGCGCTGAGGCCCGTCATTTCCAAATCGACGGATGCCTGATGTTCCACCAACAGGATCACAAACTCTAAATGGCCCCCGCCAGCTGCATAGTGCAACGCTGTGGCGCCACGGTCGGTCCGGGCATGATCACGTGTTGCGCCAGACTTGAGCAAACAGCGCGCACTTTCAACGAATCCACGTCGAGCGGCTAAGATCAAAGCTGTCTCCCCCCAGTTTGATGTGGTCTGGTCGCAGGAAGCGCGAGCGTCCAGCAACAAGCGCAGAACCTCCACATGATTAAAGCGCGCTGCCAAGTGCAACGCTCCTTCATCTTCATTGGCCTTAGGCAAGCGTTTCTATGAAGCCATGAAGCGGGCCAAGTTTTTCCCTGCAGGCGGCTTTCAATGTATTGCTTGCACACGACTACCTTCCAATCATACCCAGCCAGTCATTCCCAGCACACTTGAAAGTTGATCCACTTACTTGCCTGGGCACTGCTATGCGGGCATCTACCATACGCATATGTACACCTTTCTGCGTATTGATCAAAACGCACCTACGTGCCTAGCTATCCTTGAACATGTCTCGTGAACACGTTCTATTCAGGTGCCCAACGGAAAAGAAACAACGTCGTTTGAAAACCTTCGACCAGCAACCACATTGGGATCTCGTGGTTCTAGGACTCGCCGTGCAACTTCTCGAGCGTCACCTCGTCACTTCTTTGGTCGAACATCTTGCTTTTGATGACGGCTTGTGGGACCATCTGCGAAAACTTGGGGATGAGGAAACTATATAGGCGTGCTCAACACAGGCAAGTGCTAGATGTAGAAACGAGTACTTGAGGTGAGTACTCATCTTTACAGGGGTCTGTCAACCATGCTGGTAAGAATCGATTGAATGATATTGAAAACATCTTTTAAAAGGGCTTCTGAAAGTGGCGTCACCTGCTCTACAGGCGGCAAGGAATGCTCCATCTTCCTGTGCATCCGCAGGACAAAGGCCCAAGATCACCAAAGTCAACCGCATGGGTGGTTCTAGTCTCTGCTCATCGGGCAGCTCTATAAACTCATCCTTCGTCTGGCATGGTTGTCGCAGGATTAACCAGGCCAAACAAGCAGCCTTCTCTGTCGCAAGCTTTTCCATTGAATCCTTTGGAAAGGACATTAAAACAAAACTGGTTGTTTTGCCAGTAAGCAGAGTTAACGTCCTGTAATCTGCGCAATACCCAATGAGCTTCGGTCTGAGCTCCCAAGCATTTTGGCTAGCTGGTCGTGAGGGTTGTTGGATGTCTGACTGGCCATTTTGGAAATCAACCGAATCACTGGATGCAAAAATCCACCTGACTCTTGACCATTTTGAACAGGAAACACTAGAAGCCTCCCGATCGGCGCCCTAACAAGACGGAGAGAAAAGCTGGATATGGCACAATCTTAAGAAAAAGGCTCAACTGAAGGTGTCCATTGGACTAATCTGATTCTCTCACAGCGTGATGCGACAGCCCTCGGACTCCTGCACTTGATGGAAGAGCCGTAAGCGGAAGGTGGAAGTGTGAAGGACATCAGCTGCCAATTCCATCTTCAATGCCCCTGCTGTGTCGTCACGACGTTGCACCAGTTCATCAAACCTGAAATCTTCGATTCTAGGGGACGAAAAGGGGGGAGACACAGTGGCCTATGGAGACACACCATTTTTGATACGCCAAGCACTGTGATCTGTGAAGAGTGGAGGACCTCCACTGGTACGGTATATCTATCCAAATCCCAGCCTCGAGCTTTGCACGAGATGGCTGGGTAACCAAAGGTATTGATACATGCGTTGTGCCCCTAAAACCAATGGTGTAGCCTGCTGTGGCGTCGCACCGGATGCAACCCCTGGGAGACTCACACAAACGTCGTCAATGCGTACGCTATTCCGAGCTACTGCATACAGGTGAGCCTTCCTGCTATATATCTTTGAAAAACTCTGAGGTTAGAGGTTGCAAATCAACAGCAGTTTGCCCGCGAACTCACCTTCATAGAAATGGTCCACACGTGAAATTGCAGAGACCCTTCCAATTACCAGGAAATGTGTCCTTCATCTTCCTTCTCTTTTTCAAGTTTGGTTTGGTTTTCATATGTTTTCAGAGGTGGTTCAATTACTAAAATCAAGGATGATCCACTGGGGTTTGTATGTTCAAGGAGTTGAGACCGATGTCTTCTGTCTTGGCCAATACATGGATCTTTCCAGTGTGCGCCCCTTGGCCATGTGGCTCCGCTTCGTTCTCCATCAGTGCTCCTTACTGAACACCTAGAGTATGACGAATACGGACCGCAAAGGGATGTTCCTGAACCTGTGTTTGCTTGGAAGTGTCACCCATCGGAACCCAAATTACCAAGCTTTTCCAAGAGCCTGGACTTAGAACCTGAACAGGGGATCCCTCAAAGGAAACTCTTCTTGAAACGGGATTCTTTCGTTCATCTTCCGGGGTGGAACTGAGATTATAACCCAAAAATCATCCATGTATTGCATAGTTGCATTATAAACACACCACCCGATGTTGTAGGTAAATATACCCAACAGGAACTCGTACCCTGCCATATTCTACTACCTCTTCACCCAGCAACTGTTCCTCGTTCAACTCCATGAAGACATCACCAGTATACGCCCAGCACAACACAATGGCCATGGTGTTGGCGGGGGCGCAAGAGACAAAGGTGTACGGTGATCAGGAATCTCTAAAGTATAGACGAGTATCGGGCCATGAACCAACTAGAAGGTGTATAGGCTGTATAGAAGTAGAAGCGGTCAACAAATACATTGAAGTCAAGTACGAGAAGCTTGATTGATCTTGATCATTGTATGTTGAAAAAATCCCAGTGACACTTCTTCACCCGGTTTTTGTCCCGACGCGAAACGCATGGTGGCATCGTGAAAACAGTGACTGGATCTCCCCATGCCAGGTGCTTGACGAATCAGTCGTCGGTTTCTTCCGAAATTGATCCTGCAAAACGTCACAAGTCCAGGTGCTTTCCGACGGATTCGTCCAGTCAAGTCCGAGATCCCTCATGTGAAGGACTGACAAGGCGAGAAACGACTCAACTACTTGAGACCATTTTCATGGAGGCAGGGATTTATGAAGACTATCACCTCCCAATAGGTCATGAAGACACTTGCTCAAAAATCTCAAAACAGCATCCTCATTCACTAATCAATGGAACCCCAGTGCCCTTCAGATCCCGAACATTCCAATTCTTTGGCATAGGCTCACCGAAACTCACTCTGCATCATGTTCCCATGCCCAAACCGCACAGCACCCCACAGGCATCCGAGCCCCAAAACTGGTGAAGAGCGGACCAATCGGCCACGCCAACATCGGCAGCTTCATCGTCTGGCGGAAGGCAGGCATGAAGAAGCCAAGGCTTGGGGACTGAGCCACAGGTTTGGAGCTGGGGTTTCTTGTTATTGTTGAGAGGGCGGTTTGTGTTTCCGTGTTTCCAGGAATGGCATCCACATTTCTCTGGGTGTCGACGACGCATTGCATGATCATTTCATGATCATTGCTTCCCCTCTCGTGTCGTGTTTACACACCGAGAGAGCCTCCCAACGGATTAGGGGGAACGTCTTAGTTCCTCAACTTCCACCGACCTCCGGCAGCTTGGCTGGCCACAGCAAAGGCCGTCGTAGGCCGTGGCGAAAAAGGCTCGCCGTCACCCATCCTCAGAACAGGTCTCATGAGACCTCAACATCAGTGAAGTAGTGAGGCTTGGCTGGTTCTAGATGGATCATCCTCAAAAATGGTGCTTTACATTCCGGGAAAGCTTCTCGAGGTTCTTTGGGACCTCTCAATCCCCTTACCTCTCAAATCCACAAACTCTATCAAGTGTCTAGAATCACCAACATCAATAAGCAGCATAAGTACGTACCATTCTTCCCGCACTCTTTCCCGCACGGTCGGTCGCGCTTCACCACGACCTCCCACCCTCCGGCCTCCGCCGTTCACGCCCCCCAAAGCCCCCCTGCTTGGGCCCCCGGCGGGCGGCGGGTGAGGCGATGAAGCGCCGAAAGGGCAGCAACAGGATGAGCACCTCGCGGTCTTCAGCGCCGGCGGCCGTCGTTTGTTCCGCGGCGGCGCAAGACGTGCAGACGTGGAAGTTGACCGAACTGGCTAGGACTTGTGAGGATCGTTCTTTTGTCTAGATGACAGACTATGACAGACTATGACTATTTTCGGGTGACAGAACCTATGGGGGAAAGGATGGGAAAGGGCGACTTCTTGGGAGATGCCCCTTACCTGCACTCTTTGCAACATGTCCGAGTCCCAAATCAGAATCCGATAATATGAATGACCCAAGATACCAGTACGTCAAGAATGCACGTTTGTAAGAAGCACACGCTGTTTGGATTCCAAGAGGCAAAGCAAAAGACGAAGCCAAACATCAGCACAATGATGGCCTCTCAGCATGCACAGGTTGCAAACCCTGATCACAAGCCCTGATGCAAATCATGAAGCTTCACTCACTCCCGGGGTGGGACAGTGATTTGTTCCTTTCTACAGCTGCGTGTTGATGTCTGTGTTCTCTGTAGCGCAAACATGGAGAACGCCATGCATCTTGCTTGCAGGTCTCGCGTCAGGCGTAGAAAAAATGCAATAGGACAATAAAAATCCAAGTGTAAGCAATAGACCTCAGGCCGTACACTTACAAAACAAGTGGAAGAGTGTGCGGATCGTTTTTAAGTTCGCAGCTTTGGGCCTTTGGGTTTGACCCAAAAATTTCACCATGTCCATTTGACGATTGAGACTGCATAAGGCAGTTTGCCAAGTCTATGGATTGGATTGGATTGGTGAAGTGCCACCTGCAAAAACCAACCGAAGAGTAGTGCATTCGTTTGGAACAGTCCTGTAGACTATACACACCCATGTCCACCCAGGGTCCCCAAACCCCTGATCCATAAGCCACCAGACCCGTCAAGTCCCACTGATTTCCAACCCTTTTCCCGACGATTGTCACAAAGTAAGTGCGGGATGCTGCTGCACATCAACCATGCGCACCAGCTTTGAAGAGGTGCCTTTTGAAGTGCTTCGCTTTGCAAAGGGTCGTGCCGCGGCTTTACCGATCGCTGTCAGCTTTGGCTGAGGCCCGCACAATCAAGTCGATGGGTGCATGCCACCAATTGGGACACGACCTTTGTGCCGGAGAAGAACTCGCAACTGGTCGAAGAAGTCAACCAATGTGGCAGAGTGCAGAAATGACATGAGGCATGTTCTTCGTTGAATATTGGAAGCAGCATATGTTCACAGCATGTTCACAGCCTCCAGAGTTCTACTTTGGGTTAGCAGCTGGCCCGAAACACTGCTGGTCCCTGTTTGATCTCATGATCTTTGAGCCACCCCCAAATCGCTCGACCGGGCTAGAGTCGCTAGAGGTCCCCTCCACCAAAGGCTCTGGCTCCGAATCCAAGTCGTCGCTTCCTCGGTTCGTCCGAAGACTCCGAATCGCCGGTCAGGTCGGGTCGGGTGTTCTCCCGGTGACGTGGTGAGCGAGACCACCGGGTGGGCGGTGACGTGGTCCGGTGCGTTCCAACGGTTCAAGTGCATCCGTATCGAAGGAACTAGAACGATCCTCAACATGATTTGAGGGTGGACCAACTGCTCGATTGTTTGTTCCTCAAGGAGAGTTGGAAGAGCACGCATGCTGGGTGGAAAACTGCATGTTGCTGCTAGACATCGAGGGGCCCTGAACAAACATCAAGTCAGAATCCGTGGATGCATCACTTGGGCAGCCACGACTGCTTTTAGGCCAATCAAAAGTGTCCCGAACAAAGAACAACAACGAAACTAAAGGCTTTGTTAGTTAAAGAGACCCCGCAGGGCCAGGCAGGCCCCTTAGATGGCAGGCGGCGCCCCTCCTTCATTGAAACTACCCAAGACTGTCCCAGGCACCCAACAACGCCACCACTCACCAGTCCACCATCTGTCCCCGGTTTTTTCTGTTCCTGGCCTACCAAATAGCCACAGCTTGGATCAAAAATGCCGATGGCCTGCGTCTTCCGCACAAGGAGTCCAAAAGACTCAGATTGAGCACATTGCACCGCTGAGAAAGAAGGTCATAGAAGGTCTAACCAAGTCATGAAAACCGAATCCAAGGTCCCCTGGGCCTCATAGCGAGCTTGTGCAGAGGCTGCAATGACCACTTGGAAGAGGATCCTGCCATGCGAAGAATGGCACGTTGGTTGGACCGATGACTTGAAGCGGTATGGCCGCAAACTGCATACTGTAATTATACAGTATCAAACGGGATCTTGGATAAAGGGTGTGAATCCCGAAAAGGTGTCGTGCAGGGAAGGGGATCCCTTCAGCAGGAGGGGTCAGACCTGTCTCAAGGTACTGGGGGGGCCACTTGGGAATCTCCGTTGATTACGAGTCGTTGTGGGAAGCTGCCCCACATCTACAGGTCCACCGGTCGGCGCCGTGCCCGATGCAGCGGGCGGTTTGACAAGACTTGGCGGGGCAGGCAGGAGCAGCTGCTGAAGAACTTGGCCCTGGGCGGCGGCGAACATGTCATGTGATTTCTAAACCTGAATGAACTTGTGCAGAGATTCTTTGGTGGACCATCGAAAAATGAGAACGAGAGGGATCTGTGCGTGTGAAATGCAACGCGGGACTTGACACCAGTGAGACCAAGTGCTTTTGACAGGGACTATATAACTCTATGTATAAGGTGCCGTTTCATTCAATGATCCAAGGATTTGCGGGTATATACCATAGTGACTTCAGAATAGATGGCACAGTTGAAAATCGGCCCGCTGTATTCATACTGAGAAACCCTACGTTACTAAGGTAGGATAGTGATGAACAATTTCCCTTGTCTTGGGCTGTTCTATCACCAAGGGGAGCAAAGCAAGGTTTGTAGTGAAAAGCTTCGAAGATGGGTTCATAGCAGTACCTCCTGTCAAACCGTTCAAGGGATGATCATCGCATGTCCCCTCCGGCTTCTGTCCTTTGACTGCACATGTGGGTTTAAAACCCGCTTTGTACTGAGGCAGCCCCCTCTGAACAATGAACAGAATACATCGAATACACCCAAAACCCAGCATGGAAGCAGAAAAGGACCCCTTGGAAGATGGTTTTCCCATACAAACAGGGACTTGTCCAATATGTGTGCTCTCTCAGTCTAGTCGTAACTTGGGAAATGCTTGCCAATCCCTTGAGATTGGCATGTCTGGCGCTTAACACGACACGCCGAAGCTACAGTTACATGATGTTCCCTCGTTCCCCCTGTTTCCCTTCTGCTCCGAGACAGGTCCTTATTCACGCCATCACCCCCCCTAGTGCCCCGGCCACTGACACAAAGCCAAGATATGCCAAAGAGCTGCCCTCAGCCGAGCAACGCAGCTGGCCACACGAGACATGGAGCGGCTGCGGAGCTAAAACTAGGAGACGTTAGGACCTCCGTTGCACTGGGGGCATCGAGGTCACCTGCGAGCTAAAACTGGTCCGGAAACTTGGGGGGTTCTTCTCCGTCTCCGAGTTGGACAGAGGACACGAAGGTCATGCAAACCAGCACAGCGGACCTTTCGACTCGTTGGTCAATTGCTTCTTGAAGGGAATCCATCCCTGTGGTGTAGAAAAGACGGAAGGCCTAACAACCGGTCAAAACGGAAGGCCTGCGGCCTGTCCTGGTCGGC